TAGCAGGGTAGTGAGGTGCTTTCACACGAGAGCATGAGACCTAAATTAAAACGACATTTAGAAACCAAACAACCCAGTTGCAAGGACAAACCTGTGGACTATTTTCTAAGACGACTCCAAGAGCTGAGGGCATCACAAAAGTGCCGTACATATATATTCAAAACAAGCACATCTTACTGTGCTCACTGTGTAGCAAAGGTCAAGCCCACACAAAAGCAGAACAGCAAATAACTGCTAATCATTATAAAATGGTTATGATTATTTTAATCATTATACTTTAATTTGCTGGTTTGTTCTGTTTAACTGGATCAGTGTTAATGTTTTATAAACAGCTCGGTTTGATTCATGGTAACTGAACTTTTCCTTTCCCTAACCACTGTTTACAGTATTTGTCGTTTTTACTGTGTAATATTTCTATAATTTGACACATTTTGTTAAATGACAGCAGTAAAATATAGTTTATTTGTAAGTCTTGGTGATTTTCTTATGATTTATCAGTCACTAGTTGTGTATGTTAACAATTAAATACAAGCGAATTATAATTCCTAAAAGTAGGATTATAGTTCCTAAAAATTTGGGTCATGGCTTGATGACCATGTAAAAATGTGGGTCCCATGGCCAAACCAGTTGAGAACCCCTGGTTTAAACGATGGCTCTGCCATAGAGAAACTAGGGGTTTTGGGAAACTCTCGTCACTACATCGCTCTTTTCCCAAATGATGCATGGTACTATGATAGTTCAGCCGTGAGTTGTGTCGTGGTTTGGGAAACGCACCCCTGGATAAAGTAGTTCCGGCAGGTTTTGAGCACATCTTGTTTCATATAAGATATCTTACTTTTATCAGTTTAAAATATATATATATTGATATAAATTAATAAAGAATAACCAGAAAACCTAATCAAGAAGAAACATGTGAATGATTAACATCTGAAGAGGCAAAAACCTCTGAATGCCATTTGATGTTTTCTTCTAAAATGAGCATTTTGCTCCGACTTCTGTGTGTCGGCTCAGTAATGTTACTTTTATAGTGACAAATAAGTTATTTTCATTCATTCATTCAATTATTCATTCATCTTCTGTCGCTTTTCCGGGGCTGGGTCGCGGGGGTAGCAGTCTTAGGAGAGAACTCCAGACTTCCCTCTCCCCAGACACTTCCTCCAGCTCCTCCAGGGGGATCCCGAGGCGTTCCCAGGCCAGCCGAGAGACATAGTCCCTCCAGCGTGTCCTGGGTCTTCCCCGAGGCCTCCTCTCGGTGGGACATGCCTGGAACATCTCCCTAGGTAGGCGTCCAGGAGGCATCCGAAACAGATTGCCGAGCCACCTCAGCTGACTTCTCTCGATGTGGAGGAGCAGCGGCTCTACTCCGAGCTCCTCCCGGGTGTCAGAACTCCTCATCCTATCTATAAGAGTGCACCCTGCCACCCTGCAACCTTTCAGTCATGACCCAAAGCTCATTCCATTTAAAGTGAAATAACTGAACAGAAATGTAGGAGGCTGAGAGAAGTACTAATTTTAGGAGAAATTTCAGACGGCTTTTAGAGGTTTTTGCATATGAGTTCTTCATTTACACTACAGGGCTGCTGAATGCTGGATTCTGATTGGCTGATGGTCACTCTCTGGTGTTTGGTTATTGTCAGATAAAGGCACCGCTAAAGTAGTTCCGGCAGGTTTAGAGCGCATTACAGCTCCATATCACTCCGCTGAATGATAAGAGGTATTTCACAGCTACAGCAGTCAGCAAACACAACAGAAGGAGGAGATGTGGAGGACACTAGTGACGCACACAGCAGTTTGAGGAGGACACACACCTGATTAACACACTCGCACACACAACATCTCAACAGTGGGTTCAGCAGAGGAGACGTGTGATCAATTATTCCTCATTATGATGGTTTATTGACAGCAGTTAAAGCGTCTCAGACTCTCCATCAGTCCGTCATCGTGTCCATCAGTCTCTGCAGGCTCCTGTGAATCTGAGCATCAGCATCGGTCAGCAGAGGTGGAAACTGGTCTTATGTCATTAAGTACATATATTAAGCATCTGAGCCCGGTTGCATGAAAGCCCATGGGTTAGGAAATCCATTAGTTCTCAGGTTAAAGGAACCAGGAGCTATTACTGGCAGTAAGATTCTGTAGTGTGCAATCAATGAACTCTACGCTATGCCAGAATGGATAGCAACGCAACTGACAAAGGTCATGTGATCTTGACAAATTGTGGATGTAGTATGTTCCGATTCCATTCATACTACCAACCCTCACCACATAGAACACACTTTGATAACAGTTGTGTGATAAGTTCAAATTCACATCTAGTATATACTCGAGAAGCAGGTGATTTGGAATGCAGCCCGAAACTGCTTAACAGAGAAGTGATATAAAGAGCTTCAGACAAACCTTCTCCAGCTTCAGGAGACAGGCGGACAGAACAGAGCAGACCTCAGCTGAATCTCCAGCGTACACGCTCATATGTCCATCCCTGCAGTAACACACACACACACACCCACGCACACACCCACGCACACACACGCACGCACGCACGCACGCACGCACGCACGCACGCACGCACACACACACACACACACACACACACACACACACACACACAGTTGCTACATCTATAGTTGCTATGGTAACACAACAACTACAGCCATTGATCTGTTATGGTGAATCTACAGTTGCTATGGTAACACAACAACTACAATAATACATTTTCTATGGTGATTCTACAGTTGCTATGGTAACACAACAACTATTGCGATTGGTCTGTTGTGGTGATTCCTCAGTTGCTATGGTAACACAACAACTACAGTAATTGATTTTCTGTGGCGATTCTACAGTTGCTATGGTAACACAACAACTACAATAATTTATCTGATGTGGTGATTCTACAGTTGTTATGGTAACACAACACCTATAGTAATTAATCTGTTGTAGTAATTCCTCAGTTGCTATGGTAACACAACAACTATAGTAATTAATCTGTTGTGGTGATTCCTCAGTTGCTATGGTAACACAACAACTATAGTAATTAATCTGTTGTGGTGATTCCTCAGTTGCTATGGTAACACAACAACTATAGTAATTAATCTGTTGTAGTAATTCCTCAGTTGCTATGGTAACACAACAACTATAGTAATTGATGTGTTGTGGTGATTCCACAGTTGCTATGGTAACACAACAACTATAGAAGTAATCTGTTGTGGTGATTCTACAGTTGCTATGGTAACACAAAAACTAAAGTAACTGATCTGTTGAGGTGATTCCACAGTTGCTATGGTAATATAACATGACCAATACTGTAGTTTCCTACAACTATACTGCAATACACCACAGTTTACTGTAGTAAAAACTTTTGGTTAGTAAATACCACATTATTTACAGTATACTGCACTTTAATATAGTATTGTTTAGAAGCGTGTGTGTAAATGTGAGTGAGATGATCAGCTTGATGTTCACCTTTTGTGTGGCAGCTCCATGGAGAGCAGAGCCATCAGCCGCTCCTCCAGCTGACCATCTTAAAGGCCATATAGCAGGAGGAGAAGAGCAGCACACACACCCTACACACACACACAATCACACACACATGGGTGGTTCATGAGGACTCTCCATATAGGTGTAATGTATTTTCTGAGGCAAATTCTGAATGTCAAAAGACCTGTTTTTGTGTGTCTGTATCTGTGTGTGTGTGTGTGTGTGTGTCTCACAGTGAGAGGTAGATCAGCACCAGTGTGTTCAGAGAGAGAGAAACAGGTCTGAGTGTCTTCATGAGCTCCAGATCGGCTGATGCTGAAACACACACAACATACTCTGACTATCCTCACACACACTGCACATCTCTAAGCCTGTGTGTGTGTGTGTGTGTGTGTGTGTGTGTGTGTGTGTGTGTGTGTGTGTGTGTGTGTGTGTGTGTGTGTGTGTGTGTGTGTGTGTGTGTGTGATGTGTGTGTGTGTGTGTGTGTGTGTTTTACCAGTGTATGGCAGGTTTTTAGTGCTGTCAGTCTCTTGTTTGATGTGTGGATCCAGTTCACCGTCTCGTTTCGTCACCTGAGAGCGTTTCTGGAACTCTGTAAAATACAGATTATGCTGAAACACAGGGGCATTTTTAAATGTAATGTAGTTCACATAGAATATTTTACAACCAACAATGACATCAAATGCCACAGAGACAATAGCTCAATTTCCACTATTGCGCCTAAAGCGAGTGTGCCAGGGCGAGCCAGGGCCAGAGGCCAAAGTGGGCTTTCTCGGGGCTAGCGGTTAGCTTTTTTTCAGCCTGCCGAATACCTTGGACCAAAGAGGGCCAGCTCGCGCTTCAGGGCGGAGTGAAAGGAGAGGCGGAGATTGCTGTGTGTGTTGGTTGTCTTCAGTTTAATGGTGTCGTGATGATGTGATGTGTGCTTGATCCCTGCTGAACTGGGCGGATTGTGTGACATTTGATTCGGGGATGTTCTGTGGGTGGAGTTTGGGTGACATGATTTCAGCCTCACTGCACATGCTCCCGGGATATTGGCACAGCACGGCCCGATAAAAGCCCTGGCTCGCACTGGCCTGACACTGGAAATGCAGCTATACTGTGAGGGGCTGTTCACATTAGTGATGGGAAGTTCAGATCATTTTACTGACTCGGATCTTTGAGTCTCGTTCATCAAGATGAACGAATCTTTTTCGAGTCATTTCGTTCATTTGGTTCAATTTGCCAAAATATTATTAAAATGTTACAAATTGCTTTCAAACACATCTACAACTAGCCCAAAAGGTTAATTGCATGACAAATAAGTAATAAACAGAATATAAGAAGGAGAAAATAATAATTCAGTGTTGACCTGCTCTTTTGCATATGAAAGTATTGTTGTCTCTGTGCTCAGCTCACCTCTTCATGTCTTTAAATTTCAGGGGTTCATTCACGTTACACTGACAGTCACATATAATCTTAATCAATGCACAGTCTAAGCTGATAGGAGCCATGATCGTTCATTCATCACGTGACAGAATGACTCAAACCCGAGGACTCGAGAGATGAACGGTTCAATTCTTTTTCCGGCTCTAAACGCGTATGATTGGCCCGTGATGAACGAGTGACTCAGACCCGATAGAGGACTCGAGAGATGAGCGGATCAAAACTTTTTCCAGCTCTAAATGCGTATGATTGGCTTCTGCCAATGTGATGACTTGAAATTAACAATACCAGCACAAATGTGCGCACGCGTGGATGAACGAATCATTCCCTGAGAGGACTCGTAGTTCCCGAGTCCTATTGAAGATTCGTTCAAAATGAACGAATCGTTCATGAACGACCCATCACTAGTTCACATATCACAGTGTGCGCAAGCAGTGTGACGCAATCCCATTTTCCAAGCGATTTCCATCGTATTTTGTTTTTCTAATAATAATAACGTCAAGTTAAAGGCTTTTAAAGGTATATTGACCAACCTCCTGGTTTCAGTGTATCTGATGTGTGTGTGTGTGCTGGTGTTTCAGTAAACCTAATGAGTGTTTGTATGCGCGCACTAGTGTTTCAGTGAATCAGTGTGTGTGTGTGTGTGTGTGTGTGTGTGTGTGTAGACCCTCACTGGGTGTTTTGCTGTACTCTGGAGCCTCTGGACAGTCTGAGCTGCTGCTGTCCTCCGTCCGCTGACCCGTCTGTCTCTCAGGAGCATCCAGATCTGACAGATCAGCACTGAAGTCCTGCATGCACACACGCACACACGCACGCACAGCTAAGTGTGAATGATAAATAAGTGACGACTGATGAAGAAGTAAAGAGAGACTCATACTGCAGTCAGTATTGCAGGATGATGAAGATGATGATGATGATGATGAGCTCTAATGCTGCTCTGAGCCACTCCAGGAGTTTCCTCCTGCAGAAAAAGAAAAACGAAAACAAAACAAACAAACAAAACAAAACACACAACACAACACAACACAACACAACACAACACAACACAACACAACAAAACAAAACAAAACAAAACAAAACAATAAACAAAACAATAAACAAAACAAAACAAAACAAAACAATAAACAAAACAAAACAGTCAGACAAAACACTAAACACACTTAAAATAATACAACAAACACTAATGGAAATAAAATACAACATAAAAGCTAAAAAAAAATATTTTGTTTAATTTTATTTAATTTTTAATTTTTTGTTTAAATATCTATTTAATTTTTGCAATTATTTTATTTATCATTTTTACACATTTTTATTTAATTTCTGTTTATTTTATTATATTTATTCATTTTCTTTTTAGCTCAGTCCCTTTATTAATCAGGGACTAACCACAGCAGAATGAATCGTCAACTATTCCAGCATATGTTTTAGGCAGTGGCTGCCCTTACAGCTGCAACCCAGTATTGGGAAACATTCATACACACTCTTTTACACCCATACACACACACACACACACACACACACACCCATACACTACGGCCAGTTTAGTTGATCAGTTCCCCTATAGCGCATATGTTCGGACTGTGGGGGAAACCGGATCACCTGGAGGAAACCCACGCGAACGCAGGGAGAACATGCAAACTCAACACAGAAACGTCAACTGAGCCGAGGCACGAACCAGCGACCTTCTTGCTGTGAGGCAACAGCGCTACCCACTGCGCCACTGTGCCACCCAAATAATAAAATAATTATGATAATAGTTAAATTTAATAACATTTTTAATAAACAATTAATACCTATAGTTACAAACAAACAATAAACAAAGGTTTGGCCAATAAATGACCTAAAACTGTAATAAAACATCACAAAAATAGACTTTAAACCACAAATAAATGTAAAACAAACAAACAACTGAATAAACTTACGATCATATGTGGACAGACGGACATCAGGACCTTGTAGGTTGTGTCTCGAGACAGAAAAGAAACAAACACATGCTGCAGAAATAAGAGAGATGAGAAACACAAGCGCTTCAGTGACAGACGGATATGATGATGCTCAGTGTTTTTTACCCGCTCGAGTGCAGTCGAGATGACCAGAGCGTTCGGCACCAGGATGGCGGTTTTGGTTTTCTTGATGACGGTCACAGAAGACACTGGAATGGCGATCTGAGGGAAAACACACATTATAATAAACTACTAATATCAAAGCTTTAAGGTTACTAAATACGACTTTTTCTAATCTTCTGCAAATGATTTGAGTGCAAATGTTTAAATGCTTTGAGTCTGGGCTGGGTCAGTTTATGACGAGGAATCCTGCTTCAGAAATAACTCCCTCAGTCATCTTTCCATCAAGCAAATTTCTCGTGTTAGCCTAATTGGTTGGCGATATGTGTTGGGGTGGGGGGTGGAATTCCAGGACTTTTCAGGAGACGGAACAATACGGGAGAAAGGCGGGAGATGGGTCTGAAATACGGAAGACTCCCGGGAAAAACGGAAGTGTGTATGAGTGGCAGTAACCCACAACAAAGTTTTGTTTACGTCATTCTCGCAGTCCTGTAGATTTACTTTTATCGGCTAGACTCCAGCCTCACAGCTCTATGAATGTCAGTGCCGTCACTTAATGATCCATGATTGGTAAACATAGTCTGGACGCTACTTCAGTAATAAATTAGCTCCACTACTGAAAAGCTATTTGATTTATAAAGTAGCGACGCTCCGACACACTACTGAGAAATGTAGTTAAGCTAGTAGCCTCACTATTTACTTAACACTGTGAATAAAACTGTGTGTGTGTGTGTGTGTGTGTGTGTGTGTGCTGCATGCTGAAAAGGACATTTATGAATTATGAAATGCAGAAATGTGTCAGTTACTAAACTGGAAGATTATTTAGTTTGTTTTGAGGAAAAATTCACTTATTTTGACTCATTATTTATAAAAGAAAACAATAATACTCATGTTCTTCTTGATTTTTTGGATTAATACGAAGACAAAAATAGGTTTTTAAGTGTACAAGTCTGATTTTTTGATTGATTTACTTGTAACTGTGATGTTTTGTGTTTATATATGATATGATAAAGTAATGAGTTTTGACATATGGTAGACTCTAAAAAATATTATGTCAACTTAAGTTGGGTAAAAGATGGACTAATTTGGTTCTATAAAGTTGGAAAAGCATTTTGTGTGTGTGTGTGTGTGTGTGTGTGTGTGTGTGTGTGTGTGTGTGTGTGTGTGTAAAGAAGTAAAGTAAAGTAAAGAACTTTTATTGTCATTGTAGTTGTACAACGAAATTTGTTTGGTAACTCACAGAGACCAGCAGCAACATAAAAAGAGAGAAAAACAAACAATAGACATAATACTAAAATATAAGAGGCAAGATAAAGTATACTAAATGTAATAAGTCGCATAAAAACCAACAATAGACATAATACTAAAAATATAAGATGTAAGATAAAAATATACTAAATGTAATAGTCACAGTATTTACATTATGGCAAATGAGTGCAAACATGAATGTCCATAAAGTGTCTTTGTGCATTAGCAGCAGAACATCAGAAAGGTAGGGAGTGAGGGAGGGGGGTGATTGTTAATGTGTACAAAGAGGAGGGGTGGCACAGGCTACAGCTCTGGGGAAGAAGCTGCTCTTTAGCCTGTTTGTGCGAGTCTTAATTGCTTTATATCTTTTCCCTGATGGGAGTAGTGCAAAAAGTTTGTGTCCTGGATGAGTAGGGTCCTTAATGATTTTGCTAGCTCTCCTCTGTAGGCGGCTAGCGTAGACTGTATCGAGGTTTGGGAGTTTAATTCCTATGATCCTCTGTGCAGTCTTAACAGTTCGGGATAGAGCTCTCTGGTTTTCCGCAGTGCAGCTTGTGTACCACACTGTGATGCAGTGACAGAGGATGCTCTCTATCGTGCTCCTGTAGAAATTTAGTAAGAGCTGGGTCGGTACTTTTGTTTTCTTGAGTTTTCTTAAGAAGAAAAGTCTCTGTTGAGCTTTCTTCACTAAGTGGGTGGTGTTAATGGTCCATGTGAGATCTTTTGTCAGATGTAGGCCTAGGAATTTGATGTTGTTTACCCTCTCAACTTCCTCGCCATTTATGTGGAGGGGGGTTGGTGGTGTCCTTTTTGCTCTTCTGTAGTCAACAACGATCTCTTTTGTTTTGGAGGTGTTCAGAACCAAATCGTTATTGACACACCAGTTGATTAGGTGTTGGACGTCCTCTCTGTAGTGAGACTCGTTGTTACCTGAGATTTGTCCTATTATTGTGGTGTCGTCAGCAAACTTCACTATAGTGTTGGAAGGGTGAATGGGTTTGCAGTCATGTGTGAATAGGGTGAAAAGTACTGGGCTGAGGACACAGCCCTGCGGTGCTCCTGTATTAATGGTGATGGTGGATGAGATGTGGTTGCCCACTCTTACATTCTGTGGTCTGTTAGTGAGAAAATCCAAAATCCAAGAACAGAGTGAAGGGGTTAATCCTAAATTTTTCAGCTTGTTTACCAGTTTGTATGGTACAATGGTATTAAATGCAGAGCTGAAATCTACGAATAACATCCTAACATATGTATTGGGATGTTCCAGATGAGAAAGGCTGGTGTGAAGTGTGATTGAGATTGCATCCTCTGTTGATCTGTTCCTGCAGTAAGCAAACTGTAGGCTGTCCAGGTCAGTAGGGATGTTTGTTTTGATGTGTGAAAGAATAAGTCTCTCAAAACACTTCATTATAATGGGTGTCAGAGCAACTGGGCGATAGTCGTTCAGACATTTCACTGATTGCTTTTTGGGCACTGGAACAATAGTTGTTGATTTGAGGCACATAGGGACTATGGCCTGTTTTAAAGACAGATTGAAGATGTTGGTGAACACCCCCGCCAATTGGTCAGCACAAGACTTAAGTGTGCGACCTGAAACCTTGTCTGGACCAGCTGCTTTGTTGATATTTATCCTCCTTAAAGTGGATCTCACCTGGTGACACTCGAAGACAGGTATCGTCTCTTCTGTGGGTGATGGTGCTGTCTGGATTTCCATTCTGTTGGAGTCACTGTCAAAGCGTGCGAAAAACTCGTTCAGGGTGTCAGGAAGCGAGGCATCATGGCTGGACAATGAGGGGCTGTTTTTATAGTCTGTTAGGGCTTTAATGCCCCTCCACATACTGCGAGGGTTGTTGTTTTCAAAGTGTCCCTCCAGCCGTTGCTGATATCTGTACTTGGCTGCTTTAATGCCTTTCTTTAGATCTTTTCGGGCATTTCTGTAAGCATGCCTGTCCCCTGACCTGTAGGCAGCGTTCCTCACTCTCAGTAAAGAGCACACATTCCTGTCAAACCATGGTTTTTGATTCGGGAACACCACGCTGGTTTTGGTGGTTAGCACAGAGTCAGTACAGAAAGCAATATATGCTAAAACAGATGAACTATACTCCTCCAGATCTGTACTCGCAAACAAGTCCCAATCTGTGTTTTCAAAACAGTCTTGTAGGCGTGAAGAAGATTCCTCATTCCAAACTTGCACCATTTTTACAGTTGGCTTTGTTCTGCAGATCAACGGTCTATAGGACGGAGTCAAGTGTATGGAGATATGGTCTGATAAACCTAGATGAGGTGATGGGGCTGCTTTATAAGCTCCTGGGATATTGGTGTATACTTGATCCAATATACTGTTGTCTCTGGTGGGAAAGTGTATGCTGGTGTGTAGTTTAGGCATGACCGTTTTTAAATCCACATGATTAAAGTCTCCTGCTACAATCACAGCTCCCTCTGGATATGCATTCAGCTGGCTGTTAATAGCTTCATAGCTGGCTGTTAATAGCAGGCTGTTAATAGCTTTTTGTGTGTGTGTGTAATTGCCCTTAACTGCGCCTATTCTTATATTTGGTGATTAAAAGTGTTAAATCGTGTTTTGAGGTTGACCTTTGTGTCTTTTCCGAACACTCTGGAATGGAAGCAGATCCAGTTTTCGGAGACGAAGAGTCGACCCTGATAGAGAATATCTTTCTGCAGGGCACACGTATAACCTGGCGGACAGAAGACAACACTAATCACTCTTCTATAGCCGAGCTGGAGGATTACTGAAGAGCTGTACTCTCTTACTGATCACTGATTACATAACAAAACTGTGTAGTCAGTAATTTAATCTCTTAGATTACACATTCAAAATAATGTAATTTCAATACTTTTGGATTACATTTAGATTACTTTGGAAATGTCTGACTACTTTTGGTTTGCATTTAGATTACTTTGGTACAGCCCAACTACTTTTAGATTACATTTGGATTACTTTGGAACTGTCTGACTACTTTTGAATAACATTTGGATTACTTTGGAACTGTCTGACAGGTTTTAGATTACATTTGGATTACTTTTGAACTGTAATTAGTAACTAATTACAGATTACATGACAATATTTTTGTCAGTAATATGATCTCTTAGATTACACATTTATGGTAATGTAATCTGACTACTTTTGGATTACATTTAGATTACTTTGCAACAGTCTCACTACTTTAAGATTACATTTGGATTACTATGGAACTGTCTGACTGATTTTGGATTATATTTGGATTAATCTTGAACTGTCTGACTACTTTTGAATAACAATTGAATTACCTTGGAACTGTCTGACAGCTTTTAGATTACATTTCGATTCCTTTTGAACTGTAATCAGTAACTAGTTACAGATTACATGACAATATTTTTAGTAAGTAATATGATCTATTAGATTACACACTTATGGTAATGTAATCTGACTACATTTGGATTTCATTTAGATTACTTTTAAACTGTCTGACTACTTTTGGATTTTATTTAGATTACTTTGGAACTGTTTGACTGCTTTTAAATTACATTTGGATTAATTTTGAACCTTAATCAGTTACTAATTACAGATTACATGACAATATTTTTTGTCAGTAATATAATCTCTCAGATTACACATTTTTGGTAATGCAATCTGACTACGTTTGGATTACATTTAGATTACTTTGGAAATGTCTGACTACTTTTGGTTTGCATTTAGATTACTTTGGTACAGCCCAACTACTTTTAGATTACATTTGGATTACTTTGGAACTGTCTGACAGGTTTTAGATTACATTTGGAGTACTTTGAAACTGTCTGACTGCTTTTAGATTAAATTTGGATTACTTTTGAACTGTAATTAGTAACTAATTACAGATTACATGACAATATTTTTTTGTCAGTAATATGATCTCTTAGATTACACACTTATAGTAATGTAATCTGACTATGTTTGGATTACATTAAGATACTTTTGAACTGTCTGACTACTTTTGGATTACATTTAGATTACTTTGGAACAGTCTCACTACTTTAAGATAACATTTGGATTACTATGGAACTGTCTGACTGATTTTGGATTAACTTTGGATTAATCTTGAACTGTCTGACTACTTTTGAATAACAATTGAATTACCTTGGAACTGTCTGACAGCTTTTAGATTACATTTCGATTCCTTTTGAACTGTAATCAGTAACTAGTTACAGATTACATGACAATACTTTTAGTAAGTAATATGATCTATTAGATTACACACTTATGGTAATGTAATCTGACTACATATGGATTTCATTTAGATTACTTTTGAACTGTCTGACTACTTTTGGATTTTATTTAGATTACTTTGGAACTGTTTGACTGCTTTTAAATTACATTTGGATTAATTTTGAACCTTAATCAGTTACTAATTACAGATTACATGACAATATTTTTTGTCAGTAATATAATCTCTCAGATTACACATTTTTGGTAATGCAATCTGACTACGTTTGGATTACATTTAGATTACTTTGGAAATGTCTGGCTACTTTTGGTTTGCATTTAGATTACTTTGGTACAGCCCAGCTACTTAGAGATTACATTTGGATTACTTTGGAACTGTCTGACAGGTTTTAGATTACATTTGGAGTACTTTGAAACTGTCTGACTGCTTTTAGATTAAATTTGGATTACTTTTGAACTGTAATTAGTAACTAATTACAGATTACATGACAATACTTTTAGTAAGTAATATGATCTATTAGATTACACACTTATGGTAATGTAATCTGACTACATATGGATTTCATTTAGATTACTTTTGAACTGTCTGACTACTTTTGGATTTTATTTAGATTACTTTGGAACTGTTTGACTGCTTTTAAATTACATTTGGATTAATTTTGAACCTTAATCAGTTACTAATTACAGATTACATGACAATAGTTTTTGTCAGTAATATAATCTCTCAGATTACACATTTTTGGTAATGTAATTTGACTACGTATGGATTACATTTAGATTACTTTGGAAATGTCTGACTACTTTTGGTTTGCATTTAGATTACTTTGGATCAGCCCGACTACTTTTAGATTACATTTGGATTACTTTTGAACTGTAATTAGTAACTAATTACAGATTACATGACAATATTTTATGTCAGTAATATGATCTCTTAGATTACACATTAATGGAAATGTAATCTGACTATTTTGGATTACATTTAGATTACTTTTGAACTGTCTGACTACTTTTGGATTATATTTACATTACTTTGGAATTGTTTAACTGCTTTTAAATTACATTTGGTTTAATTTTGAACCATAATCAGTTTCTAATTACAGATTACATTTTTAGTCAGTAATATAATCTCTCAGATTACACATTAATAGTAATGTAACCTGACTTTTTTTGGATTACATTTAGATTACTTTTGAACTGTCTGACTACTTTAGGATTACATTTGAACCATAGTCAGTTACTGAATACAGATTATATGAAAAAATTATTGGTCAGTAATTTAATCTCTCAGATCCATGGTGTTGCAATATGACTACTTTTGGATTACTTTTAGATTACTTTAGTTACTGATTACATTACATTTGGATTACTATATATGGGTAGCAATGGATTCAATGAACTGTGAAATATTTCCTGTCATTGTGTGTGATATCCATAAAAAATAACTGTAATTTGATCTGGTTTGATTGATTTTTAATATGATTACATAATCCAGATTATATACACTCCAGCTATGGTTTTAAATAAAGCTCAGTGCTTCTTTTCTCCTCATGTGTAAGTCACTTTGAATGCAAGAATCTGCTAAAAGAATGAATGAATAAATGTGAATGTGAGCGTACTCTGCCTGAGCTGCTCCTCCTCACTGACGTCCTTGAACACTTTGTGATATTGAGAATTAGTGCGGGGAAACTGGAACACAAACATCATCCATAGTCAGTGATACAGATCAAAATCATAACTGATAATGCACATTAAATCTCAGATCTGTTATGAAGTTTTAAAATGCGACCCTGAGCACAAAACCACAGGTATAATTTTACAGTATCTAAAAATAAACTGAATGGATCAAAATTATACATTCTGTATGGCAGAAAGCATTAGAGTATTAATATTAGAGTATAAAATCTTAATTTGTAATTATTAATGTACATCAGTACACAAGATTAAATTGTTCTAAATTTGATCAATAATTATGATATACAAAAATTTTTTTATTTTTATTTTTTGTCTTGTTATCAGCCCAAATATCTAAACATTATTAAAACAAGAAGCATTTTTAGACAAACAAAAAATATGTTTGTGTTGTATAATTGTGTTGTTTTCAGAAATAATGAGTCAAAATCTAGTGAGTTTTTCCTTAAAATGAGCAGAATAATCCGGCAATGAGGTGAGGGAAATAAACTTATGTCAAAAAGAAAAATAAGATTATTCTGCTTCCACATTGTCAGATTAAGGAAAAACCAAGCGGCAACCTCCCGCTCTCCCTCAGGAAGCCAATACGGAAGTAACTAAAACTGCAATTCATCCGAAATTCCGCTAGTCCTGGCCTTTCCTGACTCCATAATAGAGCAAATTTCAATTGAGCCCACTGTTAGAATGGCCAACTTTACAGCAGAAATAAAGGTGTTTACAGCCTGCTACAAAAACAGATTTTGGTTAACACAGCTAATATCACCCTTCATGACAACTGTGAGGGGGTGAATTTTTTAATAACTCATCCGTTTCCTTTATATTAAGTTATATTAAGTTTGCATAATTAAGGGCGTGGTCACTTGAGTGACAGCTAGGTCTAGTTGGTCGCTGTCAAGTCACCTCAGCTGAATCCTGCAGATTATCCACTGAACTAGGCATATTTATTATATTTCTGTGTTGTTTTATGTGGCTTTACACACTCGACTGCCTTTTGGACTTGTTTCCTACAATTATTAGATGGCATGGCATGCTGTGTGCACTTAATTGTGCTCACAAACCATTCACACTGCCTCCCGTTTCCCATGTGAGTAAAGTTATATACTTATATACTATACATGTATTTGTTTTATTTAAGATCATTTATCGTTTATATTTATATTTAGAGCTGCAATGCACTCCAGAATCTGTCAGATTGATTACCTGTAGGCTCTAGAACTGTCATCTGAAGCGTTGTCATACAGTGTTATGCTGGATTTCATCAATAGTATTGCATTAACTAACACAGACTATATCTGAAGTGTTTGGAAGTACTTTGCGTTTTCCTCCTTTTGAAAAACGTCATAAGAGCAATGTTTAGTGGCTCAATGTGTTACAGCAGTGTTTTAAAAGTCTAAACACTTTACTGATATAGTGTACAGCCAAGCACAAGAGGTCAGAACACAAACGAGTCGCAGGTGATAAAGTATTAAGCGTTCTCCCAAAGTAAAGTGTGTCTGAATCAGGTCCAAGCTAAATGCCAGCAGGTGTCTGTAGCTCCGCCCACTCTCCGCCTCTTTGCCCTTGTTTGGTATCCTGCCATGGGTGTGATGACGCGCGAACAAAATGGCGACGGTTGGCCGCGCCTACTTGTGGCTTCTTTTGCGCTCTTTAGAAACCTATGGGTGACGCACGGATACTACGTCCATATATTTTACAGTCTATGGGAAAAAAACTCACTTAATATTTACTCATTATTTCTAAAAACATGACCATATTTTTGTTTGTCTATAGAAAACGCTTCTTGATTTAATCAGTTTTAGATATTTATAAAAACATGACAAAAACTCTAAGATAAACATTTTTGTTTGCTGTGTAGCAATTCACACATCATTAAAATCTAGCAGATCTGCTGTTATATTTCTGATTTATTCACCTGGAAAGACTGCGGTTTCCTGCGTTCACACTTCAGTTCAGAGTCACTCTGGATTTGCAGAAGTAATGAAGGGTCAAACGTTTTAGATCTGAATCAAGACACACGTGGAGTGAACACGTTAGTTATGATTGAGTAAAGCAGTAAAGTGCTGAATACTAGTACTTGATTTTTGGACTTGATAATGAATATTTTAGTTTTATTTTTTGAATAATTATATAATTTTATTTATTGTATTTATATAGCAGGGTTCAGTGCTAAGGTTTTTTTTTTCTACTGGTCCGATCGGGCCAATGATTCAGATTTTTACTTGCCCTGGCAAAATGTCCACTGGCCCCACCAAAAACAAAAGAAAAGAGAAAAGTTAATAGCTATTATTAGCCACATATTTTAAATGATGTGTCAAAAACAATGTCTGTGAATCTAGAATTTAATATTTAAAAAATGTTAATAAATGTATAATAAGCAAAAATCTAAGTGTTATGAAAACAGAAATAGCAGTGTAGAAAATGTGCAGGTATTTTAGTGAAGTTTATTTATAAACTAATGTCGAGAGGATCATGTGCTTATGATTGCTTGCAGCCTGTATTATCCAATTTATGATTCACCAATCAGACGACTCCTTAATCACTATAAATACCCTCAGTTCCATATAACAGCCATCTTCATTTTGAAGAATCCCCCCTTCCACCCCTACTCCTTCTCCTTTCCTAGATGGGTGGCCCAGTGGTTAGCTGTTGCCTCACAGCAAGACTTCACTGGTTCTAGTCCTTACCAAGCCAGCTGACGTTTCCGTGCGGAGTTAACACGTTCTCCCCGTGCTCACATGGGTTTCCACCAGGTTTCCAGGTTTCCTCCCACCGTCCAAAAACATGCAGCTTAAGTTAATTGACTAATCGGCACCATAGACATGCTCCTAGTCAGTAGTCATCTCTTAAGAGCGATCACTATCTGTTCATTAGCTACTACAGCAGAGGAGTTCTCCACATCTACCTGAGCTCAAACTCCCCTCTCGCCCTGCAAACGGGAGGGACCCCCGGGCATCCAGGATCTTACAAGCTCAGGGCTCTCTCCCGGGACAGCATGCCAAACAAGCTTTATAATCAATCATCAGCTAAGAGTGGACTCTTGAATTGCAGTATTTAACAAAAGGCGGCCGACTTGTCATCGTGACATCACTTCATTTTTTTCGTCATCGTGTTGTACCCATGTAAACGTCTGCTTCCAAGACACACTATCTTTTAGCCTTGTAATTTGATGTTGCCGCCATGTTGCCGTCTCTTCGCTGTACTGGTTGTTACCAGGTTACGGCAAAAAAAAATTGCATGTTCAAAACATCAAATCAGATAAGAGGAACTGAAAAGCAATATTGGAGTTCACGACATCACAGAGAAGGTAGTGTTTAAAGGCTTGAAAAGCACTTAAAATGCACACAATTAACAAAAAGTTGCAGGCAAATGAAACTCATATAACGATTGGGGCAGTAATGATCCTGTCTACTGTCCCAAGCGTCTCTCACGCTGGCACCGGGCCATCAGGCAGTCCTTACTGTTGAGCCCTGTATACAGTTGAGGTCAGAATTATTTGCCCCCCTGTTTATTTATTTGCCCAATTTCTGCTTAGCAGAGAGCAGATTTCAACACATTTCGGTAACACTTTATAATAACTACACACTATAAATCATTTATTAAGCATTAGCAAATAGTGAATTCATTATCCGTTAAGCATTAACTCTACATTAATAAACATTAGTAAGCAGTTTATAACTGCAGCTAAATGCTCTATTCTTGACTTATAATCACATTTAAAATGTGCTCAATAATTGTATTTTCATACTTAGTAAATTATTACATTTTCATTACTAAATTAAGTATCGCATTATTTACAAACCAGTTGTATTTAAGAGTTGTTGAGGGTTTTTAGGATCATTCAGAATGAGTTAATAAATGATTAATAAACTATTGAAATCAACGTTTATAACTCTTATTATTCAGGCATATACTAATCGTTACTAAGTATGTTGATAAATGCTTTATTAACTCAACTTCACCTAGTTTTGATGCCTAATCTAAAGTGAGGACTATTCATGCTTTATAAATCCCTTATAAATGACAAATAAAGGCTCAGAATCAAATGAACGATAATCTGTGCAATCTTTTCTAAAATGTAAAATTACTGTAAAGTTTAAACATTGCTGAATAACAGGAGTGTCAAAATACAACAAAACTGGATAAAACAACAATATAATAATTAAACAATGAAATAAAATGTAATGTTTAAACTCTACAGTGATTTTATTTTAGATCAGGTTGCAAAGATTTATTTTTTATTTGAAGTGCAGTTTCATTTGTGTATCTTTAACTGAATAGGAATGAATAATGTCATTTTTCCTGTTAAGAATTTAACTGAGCCTTTATTTGTCATTTATAAGGGATTTATAAAGCATGAATAGTCCTCACTTTAGATTAGGTCACAAAACTAGTTGAAGTTGAGTTAATAAAGCATTTATTAATATACATAGTACCCATTAATATATGTCTGAATAATAAGACATATAAACGTTGATTTCAATAGTTTATTAATTATTTACTAACTCATTCTGAATGATCCTAAAAACCCTCAACTACTCTTAAATACAACTGGTTTGTAAATAATGCGATACTTAATTTAGTAATGAAATATTAATAATTTACTAAGTATGAAAAAACAATTATTGAGCACATTTTAAATGTGATTATAAGTCAAGAATAGAGCATTTAGCTGCAGTTATAAACTGCTGACTAACGTTTATTAATGTAGAGTAAATGCTTAACAGATAATGAATTATTTACTAATGCTTAATAAATGATTTATAGTGTGTAGTTATTATAAAGTGTTACCCACATTTCTAATCATAATAGTGTTAATAACTCATCTCTAATAACTGATTTATTTTCTCTTTGTCATGATGACAGTAAATAATATTAGACTAGATATTCTTCAAGACACTTCTATACAGCTTAAAGTGACATGTAAAGGCTTCACTAGGGTAATTAGGGTAAAATTAGGGTTATTAGGCAAGTCATTGTATAACAGTGGTTTGTTCTGGAGACAATCCAACACTAATATTGCTGAAGGGGCGAATAATATTGACCTTAAAATGGCTTTAAAACTATTAAAAACAGCTTTTATTCTAGCCCAAATAAAACAAATCAGACTTTCTCCAGAAGAACAAATATTAGAGGAAACACTGTGAGAAACTCCTGAATCTGTTCAACATCATTCAGGAACTAATTGAAAGAAAAAAATATATATTCACAGAATGGTGAATAATTGTGACTCAGCTGACTGTCATCATGAGTTAATGGGTTAATTAGCAGCGGTCTGACCTGACGAGGACTGCTTTTCCTCTCCTCGCAGTGACCTCAGTCTCGCCCTCCAGAGGAATGAAAGCATCAGGCCTCGTCATCTTCTGTCCTTCATCCTCGTCTTCAGCACAATGACTGTCAAACACACACAACATCATCACACACACCTTTCCTTCAGCTTATCCCCAGATCAACAAATGCGGTCCCGCTTTATATTCAAGCGCACCTATAATGCACCTTCTGTACGCGGATGGGCAGAGGTGTGTGTAGTATAGTGTGTCCACAGTCATAATAATTATTTATTAATTAATTAAATAATTAATTATTTCATTCATTCATTTTCTTTTATTTTCTTTCATTTTCTTAGTCCCTTTATTAATCTGGGGTCACCACAGCAGAATGAACCGCCAACTATTGCAGTATATGTTTTACACAGCAGATGCCCTTCCAGCTACAACCCAGCACTGGGAAACAGCCATACACACTCACTCACTCACTCACTCACTCACTCACTCACTCACTCACTCACTCACTCACTCACACACACACACACACACACACACACACACACACACACACACACACACACACACACACACACACACACACACACACACACACACAAACACACACACAAACACACACACAAACACAAACACAAACACACACACACACACAAACACACACAAACACACACACACACTCACACACACACACACACACACACACACACACACACACACACA